GATCCAGTAAATCTAAATCAAGATCCCGTTCTGTTTCAAGAGCTTCACGATCGAGATCTCGTTCTGGATCCAGAAAATCGGTATCGAGGTCGAGATCGCGATCTCGTTCAAGGTCAAAATCTGGCTCGAGGTCGCGTTCAGGCTCACGTTCAAGATCAAGATCAAGATCGAAATCAAGATCCAGGTCGAGATCAAAGTTACGCTCACGATCAAGATCGAGATCACATTCTAGATCGAGATCAAGGTCTGGCTCAAGCGCCAGATCTAGACATTCATCACGTTCTAAATCTAGATCAAGATCTAGATCCATCTCCGGATCTAGAAAATCCAGAAGTCCTAGCAGAGATTCAGATAAAATAATTAGAAAACGAAATAGAGCATTATCAGATTCTGAAGAAGAGACTGATGAAGCTAAAGCAAAGAAACTAATGAAAAATGATTTGTCCGATTCCGAGCATGAAGATGGGAACGAAAGAAAAAAGGATGACGAGATGCATCAAGAGAAGGAAGGTGAAAATGAAGAAAATAAGCAATTAGAAGTATCAATTGTTCATGATCAACAGGATAACGAAGATTCCGATGATGGAATTATTACTGGTAGTGGAATGTAAGAATATATTTAACTGCAAGATCTAAAAATAATATAAAAGTATAAAGTGGAATATATATAGGAATTAAAATTAAAAAATGCGTAAAACTTCAAAAATAAAATTTAGTAAAACAAACACGTATCTAATATTTTCAGGGACGATTTGCTGTCCGATTTTGACCGCATGTTAGCACGAAAAAAAGAGGAACAATCTCGTAGACGTAAACGAAAGGACATTACTATCATTAATGATAACGATGATATTATAGCACAGTTGTTATCGGACATGAAAATCGCAGCTGAAGAAGACAGAAAGTTGAATCATCAAAATAAACCTGCTACAAATAAGATTGCCATGTTGTCGAAAGTATTGTCGCAGCTGAAAAAGCATGATCTACAATTAGCTTTCTTAGAACACAACGTCCTGTCTGTCCTTACTGACTGGTTAGCACCGATGCCTGATCGTTCGTTGCCATCTCTTAAAATCAGAGACAATCTTCTAAAATTGTTATGGGAGGTAAGATCATAAGATAAGTCCATTCGATAAAAAGAAACATGTTTATATTATTTTATTTATTTATTACATCATTTATAGTTTCCAAAAATTGACCAATCTTCGTTGAAGCAATCCGGTATTGGAAAAGCTGTGATGTATCTTTATAAACACCCAAAAGAAACGAAAGAGAACAAGGAACGCGCTGGAAAGTTGATCAATGAGTGGGCCCGACCTATTTTTAATTTATCGGCGGACTTCAAGGCGCTTTCGAAAGAAGAAAGGATGCAGAGAGACTTGGAGCAGACACCTCAAAAGAGAAGAAAAATTGAGGATGGAGGATCCTCTCAAAAATCGCAAGATATTAATAAGGCTTTGAAAGGAGATTCCAAGTACAGTCATTGATAATATAATCGTTAATAATTGATGTTAATTGTTATACTTTCATTGCATTGAACTCTTTCTATATCTTATAGACCATTGAGACCGGGAGATCCTGGATGGGTGGGAAGGGCTAGAGTTCCTAGGCCATCTAATAAAGATTATGTCATACGACCTGACTGGAAATCAGATATTGATATTAGTAGGGTAGGTATTTGGTATAACTTATTATATATAGAGTTGGAATAAAAATAAAAATTTCTTTTCATAGAGATAATAGACATAATTGCTATATATGTTCAATTATTTATGATTATTTTAAATTTTACTTATAAATGAAATTTTGCATTTAAATTTTAGATAAAATTGTTCACTTCTAAATTTCTAATTCAACTTAATGTTCAATGTTTATGGTGTTCTTCTCCTCAATATCTTGCTTCATAACATTTGAAGATTTTTGACTGTATAAAATGTATTTTGGCTATATAAATTATATGCCATTATAATTCTTTATACACAATTGTAATGGTTTCGATAATCTGTGCAGAGCACCAAGAAACAAATGAGCCGATTTGAGAGACACATGAAGAACTACATGGACAGTAAACGTATGAAATCGGCAAGAAGAGCAGTAGATATATCTATAGAAGGTCGTAAAATGTCTTTGTAATACCGTGATTTTTATGCTTTATACAAGATTGGAATAAATCTGGCAATGTCTTCTGATGCACAGGAAAAGTTTGATTTAGTTCTCGCGTAAATTTCGGGTAAATTAAAGATAAATTGCAAAACACAAAATTGCTTATTCTGTTTCTAACAATTGGTATTACATGTTTATTTGCAGATGAAAAAAAGAAGTAGTAGTTTTATTTTAAGATAAGCTGATAGTAAAGGAAAGAATGCAATTTCGTTTGAAAATACAAAAAATAATTACATTTAAAATATATATTTTAATCAGATTGTTCCAATCAACTTTGACTAAAAAATCTAAGAATATTGTTTAGATAGATTAAGCTTCGATAATGTATTGTTTATAGCGTGTATAAATAGAATTAAATAAAGATGCATGTTTGAATTTGTGTACATTTTGTTTCGTATTTAGCTGATTGAATTAAACATTTCAAATATAAGCAATTTGAAGAGATGTTTTATGTATATACACATATATATATATACACAAAATATTTTACGGATTAAAAACAAATAGAATTTATGATCTGTTTGTATAAAACGTATTTCATTTATAAGATGGATCGACTTATGTTATGGAAAATTTTCAAGATTGATGATGAAATAACATACTTCCTAGAAATATCAGTTTATGTCAGAATATTAATAATATTTGTTGAAATTTTGTGTGTGTGTGTGTGTGTGTGTGTGTGTGTGTGTGTGTGTGTGTGTGATATACATATATAAAAAATTATAATTTACAAATAAAAATATAACTTTCTTTCCGTTCTCTCTTTCAATTGGTCTTTCAAAAAGCTAAATTAAATGGCCGCAGTAAAATTTCCGTGCAAGATGGTGGCAGTCCCTTTCCGGTTTATCGTTAAACTGATTGAACGTGTCACGCGATACTATGAAAGCAAAGGGTGAAGTAAGTAATTTTTACAAATTTTCCTTGAGAAATAACCGAGATCAATATTAAAAGCTATTTTTTTTTATCCCAAGTATTAATTAGTCACTTGGAATTGACTCGAAAATGTTAAACGGAGCTTTACATCGTGATAAACGGCGTGATCTAACCTATAACTGCCCACACCAATGCATGCTCGCATAAAATCCGATACTAATTTATGATAAATTCGAATGAAATGATCATCTCTCCTTTTTTTTCCAGCTGAAAGAATTCTAGGTGATAGGGCGCAAGCTCCCCACCGAGAAGGAGAAGACTACGCCGCTGTACAAAATGAGGATATTCGCGCCGGATGCTATAGTAGCTAAGTCCAGGTTTTGGTACTTCTTGCGCCAGTTGAAGAAGTTTAAAAAGTCCACCGGTGAGATCGTGTCTCTTAAACAGGTACTCTCATCTCACAATATGTATATATATATAAATTATCGCAACTGCTTTGTCTTATTAGATGTGTTCTTTGTAACTGCTGTGTTTTGTACTTGTTGCATTTGAAATAAAATGCCTACACAGATGTTGGAAAAGAGAAAGGAAAACGTGATAAATATAGAGTTTAATGTAGACTACAGATTATAATTAAAAATTGTTAATGTTCTTTTTTACCAGTAAAGATCAACTTAAATCTCGGTTTAATTTACTCTATCCTTTTTTAATTTTTGGAACTAGAGAAAGATAAAGAGTAATTTAATTAGAGTTAATTTACATTGACATTGATAAAAACGGATATAAGAAACTAAATATCTCATTGTGTTTATTTATATTGGATAACTTTATATATGTTGATAATATAAAATTGAATCTTTTAGATCCCAGAGAAAACTCCAATGAAAATTAAGAACTTTGGAATATGGCTGAGGTACGATTCCCGATCTGGTACACATAACATGTACAGGGAGTATAGGGACCTCTCCGTCAGTGGAGCAGTAACGCAATGCTATAGGGACATGGGTGCCCGTCATCGTGCACGCGCTCACTCCATACAGATAATCAAGGTGGAGGTTGTGAAGGCTGCAAACTGCCGCAGGCCCCAAGTGAAGCAGTTCCACGACTCCAAGATCAAGTTCCCGTTGCCTAAGCGAATTCAGCACAGAAATCGTATGCCGCTGTTCAGCGTCCGGAAGCCGCGCACCTATTTCCTTTAAACGACACGGTGTTTTTGTACTGCGACGCTATACTACTCTGCAGAAAATAAAGGGAAAATATTCAACATAATTGCACGTAATTGTACAATTTCCTCTTCTTCGCCCTTTTGTCACCGTTTTGAGAGCGGCATGAAATACAGAGCTCGAAATGTTTTGGTTGTTTAGGAATAGAGACTGTTTAGCTTAGAGGACAGTTGTGTTTCGTTGCTTGTAGAGACCCTGGATGTATTCCGTTTCACGCATGATTTATCATTTTATCCTTTAATGTGAATTGTTCAGTGAACAAGGATAAAATGATACATGATGAGCACTATAGTTTGGAACGAGCCAATTTCGAGGAGTCCCAATTTCTAGATAATGACATCCTAATAAAGTAAAGATTGTATTATTTTCTTTATCAGGAATTTGATTGGCTAATGTTTTATCCATCGCAAGCAGGAACGAATAAAAAAAAGACAAGTATTTGTTTGCTTTCCTTTCCTTCATCAAGTTACAATTTTAATATACATATAAAAGGCATGCTCCAATATAGAGCTCTCTGTGTGAAGCACATGTAATGTTGAATGCAACAAGGATAAAAGGATACATGATGTGCAATACGCTCTTCACGGGATATGTCCATCAAATTATTAAGGAGCGGACTTCTTTCGTTGATCATTTCGAAACGGGAAACGAGCATAGATAATAATGGAAGTCACGTGTCAAAAGAGCGGAACTCGTGAGATTCGCGCCTAGGACTGTGCGAATTCCGACTTCACATTCCGTCTTCCGTTACGACTCAAAACTAAGCCTATTATTGATTTACGCCACCTCTCGCGTACGAGCACGAAGGTGTCCTGACAAACTGTGACAAGCTTTGGAGAGAGCACGCGACAAGTCGTAAGTAATTGCGTTTGCAAAGTCATTTGCGTCACTTTGGACGTTTCGTTAATTTCGTCCCGTTAACTGTTTGATTCGAGCATTCGAGTGACACGACTGACACGGCGGGCGATTTTTCTCACGACGTCGCGGAAAATGTCGCGTGTTTTTATCGAGCGTAGTGCCAAATGTTCAATATTGCGTACTCGAAGGCGTGTACCTTTGCGTGATGATGCGTAAGAAAAGTTTGCGGAAATTCAGACGCGACGATGACGAAACGCTTCCTCAAGTCCGAGATCGCCTCGATAACCGCTCTTGACATTGAAGCAACATTGTCGGCGACATTGTAAACACAGACATTGTAAATACAGTCAGTACTGTCAGTGCATCACGTTGTAACGTGTCAAGTGTGTGTTAACAGATGATGGGACAGTTCAATACTATTCCTTCAAGTCCTCGCGTGATGTTCGATGAAGAGGGCGACAATGGCTTGGTGCTCTGTGATAAGTACCTGCCGGTCGAAATTCTGATAGAGATCTTTTGCTATGCCGACTGCAAGACTCTGATGAATTGCCAGTTGGTGTGTAAACGCTGGAAGATGTTGATGAATTACGCCTGGCATAAAAAGACCGAGCAGACGCTAGCCAAACCGTTTCCATGGAGCGACAAAATCCCCTGGTCCGTATTCTATTTCGCATGCACTAAGAAGCCATATGAGAGGAACTTGCTGAGAAATCATTCCGGTGCAGAAGGCATGCTTCATTGGGACTTGGGTTCGAATGGCGGTGATCACTGGAGGATTGAGGAGCCTCCTGTTGGCGTACCAGAACTGCCGCAAACCGAACTAATGTTTAAAGATAGACAAATCTGTTTCACGACGTCCTATCAACGTTGTTCCAAAATGCAAGATATCTATCTGACAAATGAAGGGATTCATCCATATATCCTGGATACTTATCAACCACCTATAATGGTATCATCAAGTTTTATGTGATGAAAATTATATATATATAAACACACACACACACACACACTATATATATATATAT